GCCTGGTGGTGGGCAAACCATGGGCCAGAGCCACAAGGTGAGCTGTGGAAGAGAGAGGCCCTTGGCTGCGAGGTTGCCTGGTGCCAGAAACATCTCCAGGTTTACAGAGAAATGGAATGAGAGGCAGCTCCTGGTCCTCGTTGGTTCAGCCAATCCACGGGGCTGCAATTAATGGGCGGAGTCAGGTCCAAGTCAAGGTCAGGGCCGCACTTTACCCACATTGCTGATCCCGCCATTATGCCAAGTTGCACCATGCCACCCTCTCATGCACAGACCTGGCCACTGGAGTCATATTGGTGGGGAGGGAAGTGGCCAAGCCTCTATGAGGTTATCAGGGAAGGGAAGGAGTCATCATGCTAAGTACCACCTCAGGGATCACTGCCCCCATTTGTGAAGGGACATGTAGTTGGGTGGGTGATTGTTAGCTGTTCCCAGTCTGGAGGATGGGGGAGGGGGAATAAGTTTTCTCCTCTAGCTTCATTGCACCTTCCTCGGCTGGTGTGGGGGGTGGTGGTGTTACAGCTTTGACTCAGGCCTTCAATTTATGTGGGCTTCTGAATCAGTATACCCAGAAGCGAAGTAGAACACCTTCCCTTTAGTTACTTTTTTTTTTTTGCAGTGTTTTATTTTCTGCCCTTGGGTCTAACCTGTTTGAGCAATTTAAACATCTGTCATGCCCGCTCACTCCATCCCTCTGCTTGCCTGCGGCTACTGCCAGAAACTCGCTTTGTGTTGGCCACACCCACCCCCTTCAGCCATACCCACCCTTCAGCCATGCCCACCCCCCCTTCACAAGGGCTTATTTTCAGGATAGGTCTTATTTGGGGGAAAACACGGTACTATGGAAATTCCCTTCTCTCTCTGAATACATAATGTTACAAACCAGGAGAGGTAGATGGCATAATCATTAAGTTATAATTCACTCCTTAAGTAAACTTTTGACCTGCCAAGTCTATACAAACAATTTGCATTGGCTACCCAGTCAAAATATGTGACAGAAGATTTTCTAACATTGAAGCAACCCTCAAAAGAGTTATCCAAATGAGGAAGTTCTTGGCAACTTTCAAAACTGCACCATGTGAAGCCTTTAAAGATCAGCAAATGTGATGCTTATGTGTGAAAGTGCTCACTGACATGCTGAATTATAATTATGTCTTCAAAATTTGTGTTTCAGAGTATGAAGACTGATACTCTAATGGGATTGTGCTTTTGCATTTTGTATTTTTCTGTAGACTTTTACAGCAATGCCGGGATATTTTAATGCCATTTAGCCCTTCAATGGATGAAGGAAAGGAGTATAAAAAGGGAGAATAATACATGATTTTCTCTCCCTTCAGGTATCACATGTTTATTGGAAAGTCTCATACAGGTTTTTATCTGTGATTCCATGCAATTGAGCCAATGTTTTTCAGCCTTCATTACATTACATTAGTAGAGGTGAGATGGAGTGGAATGTCTCCCAAACTGTAGATATTTAGAAGGCTAGTCATAATGTTTATGGATATAAATGTTCAATTCAATTGAATAATGTCACTAAAGGCTGCATTTCTCTCAATGTATCTGCAATAAAATTCTATAAAAGGATTTCCTGAATATATTTCCCTACGCAGAAATTTGTGTATTTAAGTATAAATGTGCATAGATTCCATTTTTACCTGGATATCAATTTAATGGAAGAGCAGACATAATTCTACATCTCATCTTCATACACTCAGCAAAAAGAACTTCTGTATAGGTTGATTCTGCATTTATAGAGGAGGATATGTTTTTCACTGAGATTCTTTGGTAAGTAGACTGACATTTATCTATAGGAAGCATATTCAGTAATAATAAAATATTTATCACTAGTCTTCCATAAGTGGAAAAACAAAGGGCAGTTTTCTCCAATAGAATCTGTAAAATGACAATTTGATTATTTCAGCTCTTTGTCCTCCATTTGTCTGTATTACACATTATAATTCTGCATACAGCTGAAGTTATTAGGAACACAGCATGAAGGAAAGTGTAGTAATGAATGACAAAGTAGAGAAAGTAATTTAAAACAATCCAAGTTGTTTGTTTCATTGGGGTGAGAGACATTTAATCCATTTACCCAAAGCTTGTGATACTAGTGATGATTTTAAATCTATGAAAACTAGGATAGTTTGTTTGGTAACCATAAACAATAAAATATCAAAATTTATCCAATTAAAGGTGTGGAGGGGAATGAAGGTAATTTCCCAGAAATATTTCTCAGATACTGATCCTTCATATTGCTGGAATGCTGTCAGAGATAATTTTAACTAGTCAGGTATCCTTACTAAGTAACAGTATTTTACACAGATCAGCTACCATCTTAATGTTTTTGTCAACCTCCCTAGTTCAAACCCAGAAGCTTTCCAGATACTTAACATAGTTTGGCTTGATAAGAATCTTGATTTTACTGTAAAAAGAGGCCACTTTTAAGTCAGAATAGAGCTGGAATGGATCTTGGAGGTCTTCTAGTCCAACCCCATACTCAAGCAGGAGACTCTAAACCACTTCCGACAAGTAGCTGTTCAATCTCTTCTTACAAACTTCCAGTGATGAAGCACCCAAACTTCTGAAGGCAAGCTGTTCCATTGGTTAATTGTCCTCACTGTTAGGAAGTTTCTCCTTAATTCCAGGTTGCTTCTCTCCTTGATTAGTTTCCATTCATTGTTCACTGTGCTGCTCTCTAGTGCTTTGGAAAATAAGTTGACCCCTTCTTCTTTGTGGCAGCCTCTCAAATACTTGAATGTATGATATCATCTCTACTCCTTTTCTTTAAATTTGCTAAATAAGCACTTAAGGAAGTTGATTTCTCCCTTTCCCATAGCTTCTTAGATACCTTGCTCATGTTCCTTGGACTTGGTGTTAGATGGAAGCTGGTTGTTGATATAACTGGCATTCCTGCTGTTATATGCACCCAATGTAACTCAAACTGTTTTCATTATCTTCATGTTTTTTCTTTATCTTCCATCACAACACAAAAATGGAATTGTCCCAAGTTATATTAGGAATTGTCCAACTCCTTAGATATAGACATCTGAAAATTCTTTTCAAATAATATGCCTAGCAAAAGCTTCTGGTCTTGAACAAAAGACTGTCTCTACAAATGCTTTCCATTGTCAAGCTTTTGATCTTTTCAGTCAATAAATCACCAAGGAAAAGGAACAGCAACCTTACTGTTTTGGAATGTTACACTAAAGCTATTTAATTTGAATCTTTGCCAGTGTGAGCAAACACATCAATAAAGTTTAAGAGCAAATCTTAATAGACATGAAAAATGCCCATTAGTTACAGCATGGTGAAGGGGTTGATGATATTAGGAAGGGTATAATTTCTCTGGTTTAATATCTAACAATAACAGCCAATCCATGTTAGCAGAACACCAATTGTACATTAGAGAAATAGCCAAGCAAGGTAAAACAATAAAGGGTAAAGAAGAAGAGGAAACAAAATCATTTGAAGCTGTCAGATTCATCACTCTTAAAATATTTTATCAACTTCTTACAGTACTAGGGAAGGGGGAGGGGGAGGGGAAGGGGGGAGGGGAAGGGAAGGGAAGGGAGGAGAGGAGAGGAGAGGAGTTCAGCAAATATCTATCAGCAAGATCTCTGAGATAACCTTCACATGAAGTTCATGCACAACATTCACACTCTCCACTTTTCTTATTTTCCCAACCAACCATCCAAAGCCAGGGGAAATAAACTCCTTAGTGCTTCTAAAATCCCATCAAAATGTGTGTATATGCCAATATGTGCATATAGTGTGTGTGTGTGTGTGTGTGTGTGTGTGTGAACATCCTTGAGTTAAGGGAGACTCACTGGATTAGGGAAAGAGGCCAGCCTAAAAGTCAATCTTTAGCAGGAGGAAAACAATTTTATTACAAATGAGGATGTTTCTTGATTCTTGATCTGTTAGAAGCACAGTAGGCCTTTATCAATTCATACCACAGCAGGCTACCATTACCAATCAATGAGGGAAAAACAAGATGAAATAGGGGCAACTTATATAAAGTACCCTGTGAAACATCTTCTGTCAACCCAAACCCAAAATAAAGATATGCAATGCAGCATCCTTGACATGAGTTCATTGCAGAGATGCAGAACATGTTACTTCATGTACTGCCAATTCTATTCCATGTTTTCACCCAGCCTTCAAGATATGTATCAGTTTACTTAACTTCCCTCACTGCTTTGTAATGACAGTTCTGTTCTATGCACTCCATTCAAGTGTTGCTCTTATTGCTATGCTGAACTTTTTTCTGGAATTCACACCATCTGGAATTTCTTCTGAAATTCACAACTCAAACTACAAAGCTAAGTCAATAAAAAATGAAAAAGCATCCATCACAGGTCAATAGAATGCTATGCCAAGCATGCTCTTTATAGCATCTGACCCTATGTTTCTTAACATGGATCACTAGTTATTGTACTTTTCCGAAAGCCTTTCTCAATCTGTTGCCTCCCAGATATAGTATCCCAAGCCAATGTTCTGATAGAAATAATGGGACTTCAAGTCCCAAAATGCATTTGGAAGAGAAAAGGTTGGAAATGCCATAGAGTAGTCCACAATGGACAGCCTGCATTCCATGCATCATTGCTGGGTGACAGTTATAGCTGTATATAAAACACAAGGTACATTTTAATTTAAAACTGAACATTTGCTTTCATCCAAAGGTATTAGGCACTCTATGATGGTTATATTTCTGAAAGTAACATTTCAGGGAGAAGCTAAAAGAGATATGAAATCAGATCTTCAATACCACTTGGTTTGTGATCTTAGAAAACAGTTTTGCAAATATATTAATTATTGGTTTTAAAAACAGAGAAGTACTTACTATCAGGATCTCTAAAGAAAGAAATCATTGTCAATATTTAATTGAGCAAACAAAATAAAAGCCATTAAATATCAAGCATGTTTTTGAATTGGCCTATTGTCAGCAACTTGGGTCTACACTATTCTGCTGTTGTGATTTCCAAAAAGGTAAAGGATACTGTAAATGTCCATAGGTGAAACAGCCAGCATCTGCCAAGATGTTCTGTTTTCAGGATGAATACTAAACAAAATCTGGGAATACATCCAATAATTGTATTTCAGTTAACAAGTTATTAAATAAACTCTCCCTAAACTTGTTTCTATTGATGAAATAACTACAAAGAACAAATGCTTTCTAATCATGATTCCCTAAAATGCCCCCCTCTTCCATGGTCCAGTTCCGAATGGGGTGCAGACCGGCACTAGGCCACAGACCAGGGGTTGTGGGGGGTCCCTGATCTACTTCATTGCTGCCCAGCCACTGCTACTTTTCCTATCCTTTCCACGAAAGTGCACAGGTAGTGCCTTAAAAATATACTCTTTGCTCTATTCTTAGTATTACAGAATGGCATGGGGAGAATACAGAGTTTACAATAGAGCAGAAACATTGTTTTCTTATGCTTTCTAGTCTTTTATTTTTAAATTATATTCCAATAGAATGTTCAGGGGAATACTACCGGTATTAAAGAAAAAACAAATAAGCAAATAAGATTATTACCAATATTTCTCCTTTATTGCTATTTGTGTTCAGTAACATTTCTTTCACTATTCCATATTGAAATAGGAAGGGACAAAATCTGAAAAGCACCTTACCAATGATCTCCTCAAAATTGGAGCCAGGCTCAGGAATTATTAATAAAACATCCCACAATGCTATTTTGTAGGTCTTGTTTATACTATCAGTTTTAACTTTTGGATAGGTATCATTCTCAAAATTGAATACTCACAGAGCATATAACTACAAAGATAAAAAGGCATGAAACCTTTAGGAGTTTTAAGCAGCATCTGTAAAATAAGAAGAAAGATTCACAAAGAACACCAGGAAATAACATAAGTCATGAAGTCATCAAGGACTGTGTTTGAGGACCTGAGAAAATGTGATTGATTAGACAAAGATTACATAATTTCTACAGATGAGTTTTTAAATTGTTTTATGCTATAAATATATAAGAAAGTTCTATGCACTGATTCAGTCAGTTAAACTCAGAACTATCTAAAACTTCCAAAAATAATCCTTTCGCATTTCTAACTTCCTGGAGACAAAATTGCAAAACACATGGATGACTAGAAGACCTTCAAGGTCCCTTCCAACTCTGTTATTCTATTCTATTCTATTCTATTCTATTCTATTCTATTCTATTCTATTCTATTCTATTCTATTCTATTCATCACACAAATTCTGTCCACACCTTTTGATGTCAATAAAAATACCTCTTGTTCTCATTCTGCAATACCTTGCATGGAGTTCCCAAGGAGATAGGTACCAATGAACTGCTCACCCCAGGCAGTTCTAATCCCACTTTAGGCATGAAAGCCAGCTGGGTGACTTTGGACCAGTCACTCTTTCTCAGCCCATAACATCAGGCTCGGATGACAAGCTGATAGGCTAATTTCTGTTGAAATTAATGCATCAATACTTGGTTAATTAAGAGCTGTGTGGGGGAAGCAGATACTGTATTTTTAGGAAAATGCCAGGAAGAAAAAAAATGTAAATTATCAGGGGGGAAAATAACCTCAGTAGGAAACCTTTTGTACTAGAAAAATCAGTGGACCCTAAAGCAAAAGTGGTATTTGGTTTGGGTTTTTCCATAATGATTTTGTTGCTTTAAATTGATGCTCTATTTTGGTATACTGACGATTTTGCCCACAGAAAGGAGGAGATTATATGCTGTTCTTTTTCCTAAATATATGATTGTGAATATTGGGTGTTTCATCAGGATTTTATGGGCTCATTAGTTTTCTTGGGGTAGGACATGATTCTAAGTTTGTCTGCCTTTTTGCTATATTTTCCCTGAATTTTGGAGAGCTGTCTGATGCAATATACATTTTGCCTGGATTTATGTGCGATGTGAGTTTTGCTCAAGTTTATGGCGGGGAAGAGAGAGATGTATGTATGATGTGAATGACTGTTTTGCCTTTGTGGGTGGGATTGTCTGAATATCAGTTTTATGAGAAACAACTACTTTGCTTTTGTAGTGGCAAACAAGTAACTCATCATTGGAAGCTCAGAACACATTTAATTTATCTTGACAATATTTCGGGCCAAGTTATTGGGCTCTGCATTTATCGGTTTTCCTTCTATGACGCAGACATTGCGAGCTCTAAACTGTTAGTTCTAAAAGTATCATTGTGTTCTTTTAATTTGACTCCACTTCTATAATAGGGTTAGTTTTCTGCGCAAATTACTTTTCTTTCAGCATCACTATTTTCTGTTGCATGATTAGTCATAACATACAGTGATAAGTGTTTGCAAATAGGTAAGCTCTGTCCATCTCATTATGGAAGAAGCCCCTTAAAACTCCAAACAAGCCACTTAGAGATACTTGACTTAACTGCTAATTAGCTAAATAACTCATGTTTTCCTGCCCATATCATGGATACGCAAGGGTAACAGCAGTAGACTATACAATGCAGTCTACATTTTGTCCTTTTTACTAATGATGAGAAAGATTGAAACAAAATGAAATTTCGCTATTCTACGTGTAATACATATATTATATCTGACATGTCTTGTTTTTGCAGTTGACAATGCCTCTACACAACTTTGTCTGCCTCGGAAGCAAAATGTTAATAGTTGAATGAGAGACTACCAGGGAATTCAGGGCTATGAACTAGATGGGAGAAGTCAAAAAATATCCTGAAAGAATAGGAAACCACTTGCATAGTTTTTATGAAAAAAGGAATGCACTTTGCATTTTGGGAGTTTGGGCGTGCATGCATGCTCACACTTTGGGCACTTGGTCCAGAAAAGGTTAGCCATCACTGTCATGCTTGGTAGAGCCTTGGTAGTACAGGGGTTTAAGGCACTCTGTTATTAAGCTGATTATTAAGACCAGCTGCCTGCAATTACTGCAGGGTTCGAATCTCACCAAGGCTCAAGGTTGACTCAGCCTTCCATCCTTTCTAAGGTAGGTAAATTGAGGACCCAGTTGTGGGGGCAATAAGCTGACTTTGTATAAATATACAAAAGGATGAAGGCACATTGTAAGCCGCCCTGAGTCTTCGGAGAAGGGCGGCATATAAATCAAATTTTTAAAAAAACTGTCATAAACCAAAGACAAGCTTTAACCTTTTGAATTAAGATTTAAATTTAAAATGTGATGTCTAGAAAAAGACTGTCCATAATAGCAATAACAATCAGGAAACATTAAACTAACCATTTAAATGTCCAGAAAATCACTTCCTTAAAATAATAAACTCAACTAAGTAGTCAGGAGATAGGAACTTGTTAATCAACTATAACACCTAAGAGTATTCTTTTCACTGACCAGCAATCCTTTAACATATTAGATAAATGCTCTGATGAGTTGAATTAGCCATAATGAAGACTGGTCTTATAAACAATTGCCATCCAAATATCTACCCTAGAATTCATTGTATTGAAGTTTTACCTTTGCCATTTGGGACTTGCTTTGTTTGCAGTTATTTTTTGCCTATCGTGTTGATGACTGCCCCCCCCCAAAAAAATGAGGTGTTTTTTTTTTCTTTTCAGATCTGCATCACACATGGCACAGCTATTTCACAGTAACTATGCAGATTTAGGCCACCTCAGCGTCTGGAAACTCCAGTATGTTTATTCAACAGGACTGCATGAAAGTATTTTGGGGAACAATTTATCAAGTGTGTGTGTCTGCTGCAGCACCAGGGATACAATGCAGGACTAGCTGCCAACTGTTCTGCATAACCAGGGCAATTATATTGGGCTGTGCTTACACAGCAATGATACAAACAAAGAAAAGCTGGGCAGCTTTTAATGTATTCCTATATTCATAATTAAAATAGAACAGGGAAGGTCAGGAAGGAAGGAAGAGTGCAAAAGAAAAATAATAGGCATGATTTCATACTGATTCTAGGAATTTATATCTATCTTCTTGCTGCCAGCTGAGCTGTTGTATGTGACAGTAATTAACAACAGGGAATATTTGCTGCTGTGTTTTCTGACTCCAACTAGTCAGTACATCAGTACCAACAATAATACATTCTTCTTTTATTCCTTTATTGTCTCAGAATATAAATATGGATGGGTTGTTTCAAAGAGTCTACTATGTGAAATGTGAATTTCTGAGCAGATTGTCATGCCTCAATAAGACTTTCTTCATAAAAACAGTGCCAAGTTTACACAACTGTAGTTGTGCCCTTCTGCCTACGAACACTTTAATATAGTATGAGCTAGGATGACAGATAAGCTCACAGGATATGATATTAATGATTTCCACATCCCTAACCTAGATGCATGGCTGCACTAGGCAATGAACCAAAATAACTAATGATCTGCAAGAAATATATATTGCCATTTGCTATATTTTTGCTGAAATAAAACCTTTTATTAAACTATATGATATTTTGTTATGTCTTTAATATTTTGGTTAGGTAAATGGTATGTGCATATATGGGCATCGGGAGGTGGGGTGGGGAGGTTAAATGGGTAATTCATTTTAAGAAATAAAATGATCATTGACTGATTGAATTATTAAAACATAATAGGAAATAACAGAGTTGGAAGGGACCTGAGAGGTCTTCTTGTCCAACGCCCTGCTCAAGCAGGACACCTATACCATTTCAGACAGGTGGCTGTCCAGTGTTTTCTTAAAAGCTTCCAGAGGGAGCACCCACAACCTCTGAAGGCAAGCCATTCCATTGGTTAATTGTTCTCATTGTTAGGAAATTTGTCCTTAGTTCTAGGTTGCTTCTTTTCTTGATTAGTTTCCATCCATTGACTCTTGTCTTGCCTTCTGGTGCTTTGGAAAATAGGTTGACCCTCTCTTCTTTGTTTCAGCCCTTCACATATTGGAACACTGCTATCATGTCATCCCTTTTCACTACACTAAAAAGGTAAAGGCTTCCCGTTGCACATATGTGCTAGTCGTTCCCGACTCTGGGGCGGTGCTCATCTCCATTTCAAAGCCGAAGAGCCAGCGCTGTCTGAAGACATCTCCATGGTCATGTGGCCAGCATGCCAAAGGTGCACGGAAAGCTGTTACCTTCCCACCAAAGGTGATCCCTATTTTTCTACTTGCATTTTTTACATGCTTCCTAACTGCTAGGTTGGCAGAAGCTGGGACAAGTAACGGGAGCTCACCCTGTATGCAGCACTAGGGATTCGAACTGCTAAACTGACAACCTTTCGATCGACAAGCTCAGTGTCTTAGCCACTGAGCCACCACATCTACACTACACTACACATACACTAGACATACCCAATTTCTGAAATCATTCTTCATACATTTTAGCCTCCAGCCCCCTAATTATCTTTGTTGCTCTTTTCTGCACTCTTTCCAAAGTCTCTACATCTTTTTAGAAACTGGTGCATAAAGAGAGTGCAGACTTGGTACAAAATATCTGTGGGAAATGAAATTATGTGTCTGCTTTTATGAATTGGGGAACTGCTCTAAAAAAAATCTAGAAGTAGATTGCGAAATAAGAGCAAAAATTGACTGATAAGACATGCTTTCTCACATGAATATATGTAAGAAATCACACAATAAAACCACATCTGTTTGAATTATGCATCCACTAAATCATCTGAAATACACATATTAGTAGTGATGTTTTGCAATAGATTATAGAAAACAAATAAAGTGCCATTACTTTATTTCCAATGCTTTTCAAGGGCAAACACATTTTAAAATGTATTGGGACTTAGTTGGAAATAAAATATAAATCTATTTATTTTCCTTTCATCTACTTAATTAGGGTACATCTTTCCATTCCAAGTTTTAAAAAATCAGTAAGACCTACCTCTGAATAGTTTCCAACATAACAGAAATATGTTTTTGTGGTGTCTCTTAGCAAGATAGGTTAGAGGGAATAAACCCATATCTACATGACTGAAACTTGTACATGTTACAGAATTGTCACAGTATGAATTTTTAGTTGACCATGTGATGCAGAAATCACAGAAGTCACCAGTTAGATAGTGTGCAAAGGGTTTTTTTACTTTACTGATTCCATAGATTAAAAAGATTCCTTAAATCAGATCATGCTTTCAAATGCAGATAAGGGCCTAAGCAGAGTTGAGAGAGAAAAAACACCATTAAACTATGTAGGGCTTATTTCTAAATTTATAGCTAGGATTATTTCTTTGTTTACTTTATCACACATCTTTCTCTATAAAACTAATGTAACTGAGAACACAAGTCAAAGCATAATTAAGAACACTTAAACAGAAATAAAAACAATAATCTTCCAGCAACCAAAGCGTACTTAAATTTTAACAGCATTGTTAAAATAAAAAGGGCATTCCTTCACATAAAGTACCTTGTAGGGAGGTAAAGGAGGTTATATTCCAGAATTGTAATATTATAAAATAGCTATAAATCTGATTAGATGTTATTATCTATCTCATTGGACTGTTCTGCTTGAATCAATAGCAAGTTCTAGCAAAGGAGTGTTACTTTATTTATTTGCTGTAAAGAAAAAAAACCCCAAAACAATACCTCATCTTGGATAAATTGAATTTGATATGAAAATTGTCCAATATTTCACATTTTTCTGAGCAGGAAGCAGATCTGGACAAGCTGGTCATTTCACTTCCTGGCTGAGACCTCTGCTCAAATTCGGCAGAACTGTTTTCCCAAGACTCATCATCTGTGATGAAATCTGTATTGTGAACATCTGTACATCTTAACCTATAAAACATCATGGAGACAGCTATCAGTATAAATTATGGTCTGATCTTCTCGAATTTGTCCCATTGGGAGCTAGGGCTACTGTAAAACAGCAGAATTTAAGGATGCTAATCTTTTTAGAATATGTCTGCTTGTGAACATGATATGTCTTTAAACCTGTGAGGAATATAACTTAATGTACCATTTATACTTTGCAATAAGTAACAATGCTGACTTTTTCCATTACAGGAGAAACCTCAGCATTAGAGCACTTTCAATCAAAATATTCTACACTTCTGGGGTTTCAGGGAGATGTTCTCTCACTACCACATTGCTAAGCTTGAGTAATCAATTATTTTATTTATTTATTCACCTTTGATGGCCATCCAATTCACAGTGATTCTGAGCAGTGTACAAACATATTAAAAGCCATCATAAAAAGAAAATGATACATATCAAAATAGCAAAATAAACTGAAAATCAATACGCTACAGTATTTCCTAGAGTTGAGAATTAGGTTGGGTTCACTCAACCATCTGGTCTACAGAAAGCTCCATTTAAAGCCTATTGATTGTTATCAGTCAACCAAGAGTGTATCCCATGAAATTATCCATGTCATCCTTGGGGAAATGGCTAAATAAAGTATTTCTAAGTCAGGAATCCTCCTGAGTAATCTCAGAATATCCTAGATTTTAGGAGGAAGAAGAGTTGCTTTCCAAGGATAACTCCAAGGAAAACTTATATATCTTAGCTAGATAGAAGGAAGAGTACAAATATATTTCCAAAAATGATTATATATTTTTACTGTTGATCAATGTCTTTATAGATCCATGACCAGAACATAACTCCCCATTATTTGATAAGATATAGGGTTCTATTATAGTTGTCTTATTATAGAAGAAAGAGAACGTCAGCAATGCTTTGTTGATAGTTATTTGTGTATCTACCAGTAATTTATAACTCACTTTGCTTCGCAAACTTAAAGTGGTATACTTCACATTTATTTCTCTAACGTTTAGGTTATTTATGATATACCAGTAGAAGCATAGGGATGAGCCCCCTTCAAAGAAGTTAGGACTTCAGCCATTAATAATATATTCTGGGCTCAATATCAAGTAAGATACACATTTTAAAAAACACTCTTACCCATTGCTTTTAGTGGAAGCTTTCATCAGAGGAGTCCTTTCTGTAAAACAGTTATCTTCTGATCTTGTGCTGAAGAATTTTGGCAAACTGTAATGATACCTTTAAAAAATGTAATTGTTAATTGTTAGAGTAATCATCTCTCCAAAGCAGTATATGTAGTTCATATGTCAGTAGACAAACTGATTTAATATTAGATTAAGCAAATACATTGATTTTTAGGATTTCTGTTAGAACTGGCAAAAAATATTATCTGTTTTTCATTTTCATTTCTTCTTGTAGTAATAACACTGCTTTTCTTACAAATCTTTTTTTCCAAGAAGCATCTGCCCATATATCCAAATACTTTTTCTCAATTCCTGATCAAAGTAATCAAGGAAGCAATTATTTCACTTCTGATTTTTCCCCAGCTACTTGAGAAATGTATTTTTATCTTCATTATCTAGAAGCTTAAAAATATTATTGATATACATTTTCCAATCAATCTTCCCTTCTTGGGGTACCAACTCAGAATTCTGCCTCTTATGTAAATCTTTGTAAACCATCTTATTTACGGTTAGGAGGGATGCTGAGGAAAAAAGGAGTTTGCTATAAATATATACAGTGTAAAAACCGTATAGCTTGAAAAATGAAGTTCTGGTGCACCACCAATCATTTTTAAAATGGGAGCAATTATATATTTTACAGCAATAAAATAATAATAAATACTTCCAAAAATGAGAGTAATGTGTTTTAAATTATAGCACCATCAACAATAGTTGAACCTCATTAGATTAACATTTTCTAATTTTCTAGTATAAATTTGTATGATGATATTTTCAACAAGATAAAACTAATGGAAATATTAGAAAAGAAACACAGAATTTAATAAAGTATAGTGAATATATATATATATATATAGGGAACACGATGGCTCAGTGGCTAAGATGCTGAGCTTGTCAATCAAAAGGTTGGCAGTTCAGCGGTTTGTATCTCTAGTGCCACGTAATGGGGTGAGTTCCTGTTACTTGTCCCAGCTTTTGCCAACCTGTCAGTTCAGAAGCACGTAAAAAATGCAAGTAGAAAAATAGGGACCATCTTTGGTGGGAAGGTAACAGTGTTCCATGCACCTTCGGCATTTAGTCATGCTGGCTACATGACCATAGAGACATCTTTGGACAGCGCTCGCTCTTCGGCTTTGAAACGGAGATGAGCACCACCCCCTAGAATCGGGAACGACTAGCACATATGTGCAAGGGGAACCTTTACCTTTACCTTTTAGTGAATATATGTATATATAAGAAAACAGGAAGAGAAATAAAAATAGAAAAGAAAAAATATCATAAAAAAGAGGTGTCCAATATTTTTGGCATAGATTATAAATGCATTTATATTTTATCCCTTCTCTAAGTTTTTTTCATAATTTCCTTCTTTCCATAAACTACTGTTTCTAATCTTCAAACCCATAAATTACAAATCAAATCTTTCTCTTTTTTTCAGTAAAAAGCCAGAAAGGGTTTGCAGGCACTAAGCTTTCTGTTATCAAGCTTAAATGCAATTGTAGACCTTAGAAGTTACCAATGATTTCTCAAAATATGGAAACAGAACCTTGGCAATCTCTGAGGACTAATATTGTAACAGTGTTTATTCACCCATGATTGTGCTTTGTTTCTAAAATTTCTTTTAGTCCTAAATGACTAATTGCTTCATAAACATGGACTGGGTAGCAAAAACATGCCCATGAATTTAGTCCACTTGCTGACTGGAACATGCTAGTTGAGGCTTTTTCAATAATCTAGAGACATTGTATGGAATATACTTAGCATGGAAACATTGCTACTCATTGTATCAAAAACTTTGAGACTTATGCGATGAATATATATGGTTGGCTTTGCTATTTGGAAGTAGGTTCTGCATGCTTTTGCCCTTGAAGAAATGGATTAGCAAAAATTATACTTACTGAAAGGGTGATTGTTCTTAAATATAGATAGTTGACTGACGACCATTAGTGTGAAGTTACAACAGCACTGAAAAAGTGACTTTCAACCAGCCCTCATATTTATGACCATCACAACAGCCACACAATCACATGATTAAAATTCAGGCACTTGGCAACTAGCATGTATTTATTACACATTTAATATCCAGGTATCATGTGATTGCCATTTGCAACCTTCTCAGCCAGCTTCCAACAAGCAAAGTCAATGGGAGAAGCCAGATTCACTTAACCATGGCAAAAAGAGCACAAAATTGGGTGCAAATCACTTAACAACTACCTTGCCTAACAGCAGAAATATTATTCTAGTTGTGTCATATGTTGAGGACTACATGTATTGCTCTTATTCACAGGTAACATACCAGATGTATGATGTTAATTTAACTTTAAACCCATCCTATATTCTGGCTTTTGCACCATCTCAAAACATAGTTATGCTGTGCAACAGCTGATCATCCAAATAGGGGTCCATAGGCAGGTATGTTCAAAGACTGCTTGCAATCAATGAGCCATGATTAAATTAATGAAAAGAGAATTTGACAAGTTTTTTTTTACTGCAAAGCCTCTATAACAGGAGAAGACCAACACTTCATTCTTCCCATTCCTTAAGGACCAGAAAAGGCATTGACATATATAAGGTCTTCACCAGTGGAAAGAAAGAAATTTAGAGGGTTTTTTCATCAGTGCTGCTTAATTTTTATTTATTTATTGTTGTACCTTCAAGTCAGTGTTGACTCCTGATGATTGCCTGGACGGGTCCCTAAATTTTATCAGCTTAAAAACCATGAGAGCATTCATATTATCATTCTCTTTATTTTCCTAGTATATTTCCATTTCTTCCTTCTATAATTTACAGCAACTCAGTCTCAAATGGAAAAAATACAAGAAACATCATCATAAACTGCAGTCTTATAGCATCGAGGAAGTATCCTGAGATTAGTGGAATCATGTGTATATGGTTTCTTCTCTGAGATCAAAGAGAGAATTCCAGCCTTAGAAAATAAAAGGTCCCTCCCATCTGAGACTGATTGGAGAGTTTGCAAACAGGAAATAGAAATCCCCAGTAGTCTATCGAGAAAGAGGAATCAAAGCCAGGAGGTCATGAATTAGGTTAATAGCATAAGATGTAAATCAGTAAACCAGTCAAACAGCAACTGAAATATCAAGAACCAATGAAGGAAGATGATTTATGAACTGACTACTCTAGACCAAGCCAAGTGTAAAACGCTAGGGAATTCCTAGAAGCCTGGCACTCTGACAAATCAGCCATTAACAGGCACATAGACATAAACAACATCTACATATCATTCAAAAGAGGCAATCAACAAGCCAAAAAGGGAATAAAACACCTCCCTACCAGCAATCAACATCCAGGTGAACATAGATTAATACTAAGATTAACATTAGATTTACAATCAAGAAGCAAACAATACCTTAATCAAGGGACTGCCAAACAAGCTAACAGTAAATAGCCCAACCAAAGGACTACCAAGACCACTCTCACCAACACTGACAGAGCAAGCCATTAGAATATAAAATGAGAGCAAACCCCATTCCCTGCTAACACTGATGATGTTACCTAGTTTGGACAATGAAATGTCTACAAAAAAACCAACCAATGTAGAGAGCACCAAAGAGGCCTCATTTCAACCCGGAACTACAAATATTCCCTTCTTTCAATTTATGAATTGTGTTTGCTTCATCCAGGCCTTTAGTAAGGGAGAGTAAGGCCTTAACTTCATTTTCATCTTTTATCTTTCATGTTTTATTGGTTTTATTGTAATTTATTTTATAGTTGATTTGCCACTCAGTCATTGTGAATTAGGCAGCACAGATGTTGAATAAATTATGATCATTTTCATTATCTTCAGAATTGAGTCTGCTTTGACTAGAAGTTTGTGGACTTGAGTAAGCTCTTCTCTATGACAAGTGATTCTGAGCGAGCTTAGGGTTTGTCAGAAATAGATTTATGCTTTACTCTCTGTCTTTTACTCCTTGTAGAGCTTCCTATGTCTTTGAGGTGATGGGAGAAATCCATAATATTTGTCTGAGGAGAATTCATGCTGTGGCAGCTAGAGTATTCCTCCAATTATACAAGTTTCTAAGCTGCTTACTTCCCTGAAAATGAATAAGAAGATTCATTTAAAACAATATGACAGCAGATCCCTTTTCCCTGGTCTCTTTAGAAACACCTGCAGCCTTTCATTCCCTGATATCAAGAGTTCCAACATTACATGAGGGTAAAAGACCTGAGAGTGAGTCAGAGAGAGAGTAAATTCAGAAATTATTCTATTCTAATTATTCTATTCCTATTAGACCCACAAGGCAGAACTGACTAAGAAATCAATGCCATGTAAGTCAGGTGTCAACTGTCCAATTGATGAATCCAGAAAAAGAAACTCCTGGGACATTATTTTACCAAGAATATAAACTTTACTGAATAAACCACATTGGTATATTTTATTTATTTATTTATTTTGATTTGATTTGATTTTTATACCGCCCTTCTCCAACAGGACTCAGGACGGTGAACAGCCGAGATAAAACATAACATATAAAATTTAAAAACAATTTAAAAGACATTAAATAATTTCGGCCCTCAATTTAGAACAAGGATGTCAAACTGGCAGCCCGTGGGCTGGATGCATCATGTGCAGGCCATGCCACCCCAAAAAATGTCAAAAAAGACAAAAAATGTCATGATATATCATGTGACATCACATGACACAACAAGTTTAACACTCATGGCATAGAAGAAGTGAAACCAGCTCTGGGTTTCCTGTGCAAAAGCAAGCATAGTTAATTCCCACTTTCACTACGGGCCACTCACAGTCCATTATATCCACCAATCACTTCTATTCATTTTGTTATGGGAACCAGCCAGCCATGCTGGGATATCTGCTCAGTGTGTCCTTGAGGTGGGAGCATGTCTCATGGGAACCAATGATGCTTGGATTCCATTCCCCCAAACTTGCATTCCATTCTACCCCCTCCCCTTTTCTTTGTTAAGCTGCAAGCAAAGTGGAACATAGGTGAAAGTGCAAGTCAGTTGTGGGAAGTACCCCAAAAGGACCGTGCCAGAAACCTCATAGCACCAGAAACCTCAGAAAATAGTGCCAAGAGACTC